AAAGGAAGTTCCGCTGGGGGCGACAATTATTGGTCGCCCCTAAAGGAACTTCCGCTTGAGGCGACCTATAATTGTCGCCCCTAGAGGAACGAGCGTTTCTGTATACCGCTAGGGGCGACAATTTTTGGTCGCCCCTAAAGGAAGTTCTGCTAGGGGCGACAATTATTGGTCGCCCCTAAAGGAACTTCCGCTAGAGACGACCTATAATTGTCGCCCTTAGCAATATACCGCTGGGGGCGACCGATATTGCCGCCCATAGCGGTATATATTAATGCTTGTACGGCTGGGGGCGACCGTTATTGTCGCCCCTAGCGGTATACCGCTGGGGGCGACCGATATTGATCGCCCCCAGAGGAACGAGCGTTTCTGTATACCGCTAGGGGCGACAATTATTGGTCACCCCTAAAGGAAGTTCCGCTAGGGGCGACATTTATTGGTTGCCCCTAAAGAAACTTCCGCTAGAGGCGACAATTATTGGTCGCCCCTAAAGGAACTTCCGCTAGAGGCGACATATAATTGTCGCCGCTAGCGGTACGCGCGTTTCTGTATACCGCTAGGGGCGACAATTTTTGGTCGCCCCTAAATAAACTTCCGCTAGGGGCGAAAATTATTGGTCGCCCCTAAAGGAACTTCCGCTAGAGGCGACATATAATTGTCGCCCCTAGCGGTACGCGCGTTTTTGTATACCGCTAGGGGCTACATATATTGGTCGCCCCTAAAGGAAGTTCCGCTAGGGGCGACAATTATTGGTCGCCCCTAAAGGAACTTCCGCTAAAGGCGACCTATAATTGTCGCCCCTAGAGGAACGAGCGTTTCTGTATACAGCAAGGGGCGACAATTATTGGTCGCCCCTAAAGGAACTTCCGCTAGGGGCGACAATTATTGGTCGCCCCTAAAGGAACTTCCGCTAGAGGCGACATATAATTGTCGCCCCTAGCGGTACGCGCGTTTCTGTATACCGCTAGGGGCGACAATTATTGGTCGCCCCTAAAGGACCTTCCGCTAGAGGCGACATATAATTGTCGCCCCTAGCGGTACGCGCGTTTTTGTATACCGCTAGGGGCTACATATATTGGTCGCCCCTAAAGGAAGTTCCGCTAGGGGCGACAATTATTGGTCGCCCCTAAAGGAACTTCCGCTAAAGGCGACCTATAATTGTCGCCCCTAGAGGAACGAGCGTTTCTGTATACTGCTAGGGGCGACAATTATTGGTCGCCCCTAAAGGAAGTTCTGCTAGGGGCGACAATTATTGGTCGCCCCTAAAGGAACTTCCGCTAGAGGCGACCAATAATCGTCGCCCCTAGAGGAACGAGCGTTTCTGTATAGAATTGAAGGATGGAATATACGTACGGAGTGTCCTTCATACTGCAATTTCCTTCAATTATATTACATTCATTCTTCAGCTGCTCTGGTCAATTTTCTAGAGTTTCGTGTCAAATACCATGGCAAAATATTACATGAAATTTTATTGCAATACAATGTGTTTATCTTGAGTTCCCGTTTCATAATAACTGTGTTTGCATCTCGAACGGCCAGACGTCGGAGCGCGGTGATCAGTGTTTGTGAAGCGCGCCCTCTTTTGTAAGAAAGAGGGCGGGGGCGATTATAACGATCGCCCCTAGCGGCTGTACCGCTGGGGGCGATCAATAACGGTCGTCCCTAGCGGCTGTACCTCTGGTTGTGATCTATAACGGTCGCCCCAAAAAGGCTGTACCTCTTGCCGTTATAGATCGCTCCCAGAGGTACAGCCGCCAGGGGCGACCGTCATTGATCGCCCCTTGCTGGGCGATCAATAACGGTGATCTGTTTCTCTCTATTGTATAAAATAAATATTTGCCATGAACTTTGCTTCATTCGGATTTTGTTTTTTGACATTTAAAATACTAAATTGTTTCGATCTCATTTTCTTTCTAGTTCGACGAATTCCCATGAAAATATACTCCTGAATGTGATACATCATGAAGAATTATCTGACGGAATTTCAATTAAATACAATCAGTAAACCATGCACTATCGCCCCTACAGGTAAGTACCTCACTTATTGAGACAAAAATGAATAATTTTCACTAATTTTGACCCAAATTATCGACGCAATCTTACTTTTAAAAGCCCAATCTGTCGAAAATCCCAGTTCGAATGTGCTCTAGGGACCTTCAGGCATCCTCCCTGCAAATATCAAGCAGTTTCATTTTTTTCGGCCAAAATTAAAAAAGTTGCAAGGGTTTAGCCTTACATTTTTTATTAAATTTGGCCAAAAATTGACTTTTCTCCAAACAACTCAGAAATGCCTTTGCATGAAAGAGGAACATCAATCGACTTTCAAACACTAAACATATTGAAGATTTCGGCAAAAATCACCATCTTATTGAGACAACAATGACAAATTTTCAGTAATTTTTTCCCAAATTATCGACGCAATCTTTCTTTTAAATGCCCAATCTGTCCGAAGTTCCAGTTTGAATGTGCTCTAGGACCTTTAGGCATCTTCCCTGCAAGTTCCAAGCAATTTCATTTTTCGTCCAAATTTGAAAAATTGCAAGGGGTTAGCCTTACATTTTTGATCAAATTTGGCCAAAACTTGACTTTTCTCCAAACAACTCAGAAATGCTTTTGGATGATAGAGGAACATCAATCGACTTTCAAACACTAAACATATTGTGCTCTAGGGACCTTCAGGCATCTTTTTTCCGGCCAAAATTGAAAAAAATTACAAGGGGTTAGCCTTACATGTTTGATCAAATTTGCCAAAAGTTGACTTTTCTCCCAATAACTTGGAAATGTGTTTGGATGAAAGAGCAACATCAATCGAACATCAATCTTTCTTTTAACAGCTCAATCTGTCCAAAATTCCAGTTCGAATGTGCTCCAGGGACCTTCATGCATCTTTCCTGCAAGTTCAAGCAATTTCCTTTTTTCGGCCAAAATTGAAAAACATTACAAGGGGTTAGCCTTACATTTTTGATCAAATTTGGCTAAAAAAATTACTTTTCTCCAAACAACTCAGAAATGTCTTTGGATGCAAGAGGAACATCAATCGACTTTCAAACACTAAACATATTGAAGATTTCGGCAGAAATCACACTCTTATGGCGACAAAAACAAGTGACACAATTCAATGTAACAATTATTTCCTATAACAAACTAATTCTCCAAATCCATCTTTTCCTGAAAATCACAGCAAAAGCAAATGTTGTACATTCCCTGTAAGTGGTTTAATTATTACAAATTTCAAATTACATGAACAATAATTCTGTTCTTGCTGGGTAGGCTGGTTCCCGCCCCATATTCAGTATCGAATAATGTACAGACTGGAAGCCAGTCTAATCTGTTTGTGCCAAATATCAAACAAGAGAGTTGCAGACACCCAAGAAAAGTAAAAACAAAAAGAGAGTTTGTTGGTTGCAATAAAAACATATTTAATGGAAAAAGAAAGAAAGAATATGTTGTCGAGCATGAGGAAAGCAACTTTTAACGTCTCTAATTAGTTTGATCAACAGGTTTTCATAAGAGTGAAGAAAGTGACCGTGATTTCTTTTAGCAGTTTCCTTCCCAATTTTGGGAGAGGTTCCATAAAATACCAGCCCTTTTTGAAGTTAGCCTTCAATTTTTAATAAATCTTTTGAAATTTCAGAAACTATAGTGTACAAGTCCATATCACATTGTTATTACTGCAAACTGAAAAAAACCCAATGTATCTTTATGTTGGATCAATTTTACAGCACTGCATTTTAATCAATTTCAATTTTGTTTTGTTGCTGTTTTGTGAACAGATGTTCCGATAAATTTGTTTGGGACGCATGCCTCGTTTCCACACACATTTATGTATCAAAAATATATTTTAGTTTCTTTCAAATTGATCTACACTCTGGACTTCAAAATTATTATTATTTTTTTAACATTACTTCGTGATTTCGGTGACTCGAATCAAATGTCTGCTCTGAATGTTTACAACAGAACTTAATTTTTGTAGGTTAAGTTTTGTAGGTTTGCAGTCCTCACAGCAGTTTTTGTCATTTTGCTCTTGCTATTAGGCACAATGGATTTCAATATTAAAATACAAACACACTATTCAATTTTTCTTTCAAAACTACAAATCATATTGCGACCCGATACAATGCGACCCGAGGATTCACAGAGAAGCATTTGGTTTTGGGTAAAAAAAAATGAGAGGAAAAAAAAAAACTTCAATGATGTTTCAAAGTGAGCAAAATTTGAAGGGAAAAAACCCCAAAACTATGCATTATACCAAAAACAAAATTGACTTTTCTCAACAATAAATATCCTATTTCAGATTTCACTAATTTTCACTAACAAAATGCAGTAAACAAAGACCAAAAAAACAAAACAAATTACTCGCTGGATCATTAAACTATATATCTTAAACAAAAACTGATCGCATGTAGTTCCACGTACCCCTCCCCCCCCCAAAAAAAATTTAAACCTCAAAAAAAACAAAACAAAAAAAACAACTGCAAACAGATGTACAATATTACTCGCACAACACACAGGCCCACATCCAAAATGCAAACAAATTAGTTCCCTGCACATAATTTACAGATTTTGTTCGCCAAAAAAGGTAAAACTACACTCAACGTAATGACCTAATAACCAAACAAAGAAATTCTGGTTTTTGTCACTTGGTAGTACAAATTCTGAAACCTAAAACATTGGAACGGCTGCTCTCTATCTTGCTCTCCTTTGTACATACTTTTATTAAATTAATATTCACAAAAATTATTTGAAATGTAAATTTGTTTTTTGTTTTTTCTTCACTTGGTCTAAAGACAGCGTATGGCACACTGTTTCTTGAATTACTCAAACTGTGCAAATTCCTTTCATAATTTACAGTCTTTATTAAATTGTCCACTCTAACTCCATTATCAACACTGGACTAGCAATGTGTTAGATAGCTTGCTTACTATATACATCAGCACCATGGTGTGCAAGCATACTGCACTAAAAAGCTTGGAAAATGTTCCTTTTTTTGGTTCTTCAAAACTTCTGTCCCTTGGATTGTGAGATTATTGCTTGTACTGTGGTTTCGCTTGTCAGTCAACCAACCAGGAGCGGACGAAGCATTTGGAATGGTCAACCTGTCGGAAAATAAAGATAATTTGTGGTTACAATTAAATCCCTGGGGAAAAAGGGCACTTTTAAAGCTGTCTCATTTGTGACGTGTCACTGCCAAATGAGCATAAAGTCAGGAATTGTCATTTTACAGCCTAGGGGTTTGGACAGTATAAAATGAGGGGAATAATGCTCATTGTGATTTTTGGCAAGGTATGCACCCCTGTAGTTGGAAAATGTGATAGCATTGCAGGAGTGGCAGCTTTTTGGGTGCTATGCCTGTTACCACATAATATATCCGATGACAAGCATATTGGCGGCCATTTTGAAAAAAAAATTAAAAGTGATAACACCCACAAAACTGCCATCCCTCACATTGCAAAGCTATCACACATTTTCCAACTCTAGATGTGTATACCTTGCCAAAAATCGCTATGAACATTGCTCCTTTTGTTCATTGGATACAGATGGTCCAATTTTTTTAAAGTCCTTTTCTACCTTTCCCATGTTTTTTGTTCTATCAAACATCTTTAAAACATATTTTCATTAAGTTTCATTAGTTGACAGTTCATTAATTGTAATGCAAAAGGTTTTTGAAATGGCATTGTCTCATCTCACAAATTACTTTTACAACTTTGATTAATACTTTGGGAAAGTTCCAGCTGTCCATGGAATTACATGTACACGTATACGGTCATAACGCATTGGATCAATAACAGAAACACTAAAGGCTCTGTAAAAGCATCTTGAAGAAGCAGTTGGAATAGACAGAAGCATTTGTTGTGGAGACTGAATTTGTTTCGAATCTGACAATGAAATGATAAAGACTACAGTTTAAAATATCAAAGAGACTGACGTTGGTCTGGTCCCTCACCTCCTTGCATTCAGAAGAATATGACATCCTGCTCGGCCCCTTGGCCTCGCTTACTGTTCATTTTGCTGGAGCCCTGGTAGGATTTGGCCGACCCTGCGGACATCCGGTTGCCGTTCCGCGTGGCGGTGGAAGGGGAGGAGCTCCTCATGGAGAGGGAGGATAATTTGGTCGGGATCATCTGCTGGGGTTTGCTGCCGGACGTGGAGGAGGGGTGCGTGGACGCCAGGCTGGAGAGTTTCATAGGGAGCTGCTGATGGACCAGCCCGCTGGATCCTTGCAGCTCGTTGGTGGCGCTTAAGAGACTCCCTGTCTCCTTGAAAAAAGTAACGATAACACAAAAATAGATACTGTCGTAATTGGTGATGCAATTGGTAAGCCAATCCTAACAACATGGGACCATATGGGAATGTTTTACAAAACTTTTTCAATCAAGAACACATGCACTACAGGGTGGTGCAAAAAGAAGGAAACCTTCTTTTTGACAGAAATTTTAACCCGCTTACTTAACTTATTGGAACTTATTTTTATTATAATGTAGTGAACTACAGCTCTCCAACCATACATGGTGACAAAAATTGCAAGTATAGCGTTATTATGTTAATTTCAAAACAAGTAACCAAAATCACAGTCGTCCACGTGTAAGTCTAGTGTAGTGTTTTATTGTCTTCAAATCAAGCTCCGGAGCTCAGTCAAGCGGAAGGGAAAAAAGCTGTCCATGGAAAAACAGGTTGGCACATGAAACTTTTAATTACCAGCATCCTTCTAGCACAGGAGTTTCACTTTGCTGTAACTCCTTGTTCACACCAAGAACACATCCACTACATGCAAGGAGCTGTATGCTTTATAGCCTAATTTGTTTATTCTGTATAAGTCATCAAAGGATCCTTTTATCCCATTGTTTTACCTTCCTGGGTATCCTGTCCTGATAGCTATCAGACAGCAGGTTGGGGTCTGAGCCTTGCTGGGGGTGGTGGTCAGCCTCCTCCGAGCTTTTGCCCTCGGCCTTAGCCAGGTCTGGGAAGCTGTAACTCCAGCTGTCTGTCTCCATAGTGCTGCCAACAAAACGCTTCTTGAGCACTGCGCCTGCTGTGAGAGATTTCAATATTGTAAGCTGTTTTTCAAATTTCTTGACCCAAACCCCTTCTAGGTCAAATTTCAAGGCTATGCCAACCACTATACTCTGCGTACTGCTGGCAAAAACATTCTGCACCAAACAGAGAGGTAGTCGAGTTCTTCGCAGTTCAGTCGCAAGTAATTCACAAGTCCAGTCACAAGAAACCGTGGATGAACAATAACAAAGGAACGCCTTTGTCGAAGCTCATTTGAATAGAGCGTGTGTTGAATTGGGACTGGAGGACTTGTGATGGACTTCACTACATCCCCAGCACCAATCGTTAGTTACAGGGTCTTCAAATGCACGACATAAGGGCTGAGATTGGGAGAAATAAAGAACAACCGAAGAATATTTGACAGATCCTCAGAGCAATACAGCAACGCTGGGTCTATCTACGTTTGCATTTTCTAAAAACTGCCCATTGCAAATCTTTTTCATATAAACTTCTGATCCAACAAAGAAAAAAAATACAGTCGTGAAAACTTCTCATTTAGGCCTTTTGCTATCCACGAATCTGGATCACTCTGGAAAAATCCAAAGCATACAACATCCAGATATCCAGCTTTTTTGGTTCGAAACTCTGATAAAAAAAAATCAACCTGTTGCATTTTGTTATATGCACCAGGTGTGGAGTCAAGATGCTTATTTTGACTTGACCAGTTTTTATCCTGTATTTACTTGGTTTGTTAGAAACTTCACCGGCGCTGCTAGTGCTACAGGTCAGCCCCACCCCGGCGCTGTAGACTGCCGTCGTTAGACGATGTGCTGCAAAAAACAGAAATCCCAAAGTGGGATGAAGTAAATGTTTGAATTCCAAGCTAAGTCAAGGCCAGTTCATACTCAAAAGCAAACCTGACAGTAAATTTGTGACCACTTCTCAGTTTTTCCTGCTTGGACCTCACAAGAGAATGAACAAAGTTCAACTCAGGTAAGTTTTTGTGACGTCACATTCCCTTCGCATTAATATTCGCATTCATGTGAGGTATGAATAAGCCTCAAGGCCATACGTGCACATGCAGGATGGTACTGGAGAGGTGTTGCTGCCCAATGCACACTGGCCAGGGTTTCATGCATACAAAATACACCAGAAACTTCAACGTTTTCCATAGCCGGCATCATCGAAAAAGTCAGTTTTTGATCCATTTTTCACCAGATTTGCCCAAATCTTCACAAGAGTTCCCTAGGGGCCAAAATTGAATTCTCTGAAGGCTGCAACTGTATCCAGTAAGAAAAGAAAATTTCATGACTGTTAACAAAATGCACCAGAAACTTCAACGTTTTCCATAGCTGGCATCATCAAAAAAGTCAGTTTTTGACTCAAAAATCCATTTCACCAGATTTGCCAAAAACTTCACAAGAGTTCCCTAGAGGCCAAAATTGAATTCTCTGCAGACTGCAACTCGTTAAATTCAGTATCCAGTTAGAAAAGAAAATGTTATGACTGTTTACAAAATGCACCAGAAACTTCAACGTTTTCCATAGCCGGCATCATCAAAAGAGTCAGTTTTAGACCCAAAAATCCGTTTTCACCAGATTTGCCCAAAAGTTTACACGAGGTGCCTAGAGGCCAGAATTGAATTCCCTGAAGTCTGCAACTGGTTAAATTCAGTATCCAGTGAGAAAAGAAAATTTTATAAATGTTTACAAAATGCACCAAAAACTTCAACGATTTCCATAGCCTGCATCATAAAAAAAGTCAGTTTTGGACGCAAAAATCCATTTTCACCAGATTTGCCGAAAAGTTCACACAAGGTGGCAGGAGGCCAGAATTGAATTCCGTGAAGACTGCAACTCATTAAATTGAGTACGCAGTGAGAAAAGAACATTTTATGACTGTTTACAAAATGCACCAAAAACTTCAACGTTTTCCTTAGCCGGCATCATCAAAAAAGTCTGTTTTTGACCCAAAAATCCAACATCACCAAAATTGCTCAAAAGTTCACACAAGGTGCCTAGAGGCCAGAATTGAATTCCCTGAAGAGTTCAATGCATAACATTCAGTATCCAGTGAGAAAAGAAAACATTTTGATTTTTTACAAAATGCCCCCAAATCTTCAACGTTTTCCCATAGCTGGCATCATCGAAAAAGGTCAGATTTCACCCAAAAATCCAGCTTCACCAAATTTGCTCAAACATTCACTCGAGGTGCCTAGAGGCCAGAATTGAATTCCCTGAAGAGTTCAACGCATAACATTCATTATCCAGTGAGAAAAGAAAACTTTTCGATTTTTTTACAAAATGCCCCCAAAACTTCAATGTTTTCCATAGCCGGCATCATCAAAAAAGTCAGTTATTGACCCAAAAATCCAACATCACCAAATTTGCTCGAACATTCACTCGAAGTGCCTGGAGGCCAGAATTGAATTGCCTGAAGAGTTCAACACACAACATTCAGTATCCAGTGAGAAAAGAAAACTTTTCGATTTTTTACAAAATGCACCCAAAACTTCAACGTTTTTCATAGCCAGCATCATCAAAAAAGTCAGTTTTTCACACAAAAATCCAGCTTCACCAAATTTGCTCAAACGTTCACACGAGGTGCCTATAGGCCAGATTTGAATTTCCTGAAGAGTTCAACACATAACATTCAGTATCCAGTGAGAAAAGAAAACTTTTTGATTTTTTACAAAATGCCCCCAAAACTTCAACGTTTTCCATAGCCGGCATCATCAAAAAAGTCTGTTTTTGACCCAAAAATCCAACATCACCAAAATTGCTCAAAAGTTCACACAAGGTGCCTAGAGGCCAGAATTGAATTCCCTGAAGAGTTCAAATCATTGCGTTTAGTATCCAGTGAGAAAGAAAACCTTTTAATTTTTTACAAAATTGGGCCAAAACTTCAACGTTTTCCATAGCCGGCATCATAAAAAAAGTCAGTTTTTCACCCAAAAATCCAACATCACCAAAATTGCCCAAAAGTTCACACGAGGTGCCTAGAGGCCAGAATTGAATTCCCTGAAGAGTTCAACGCATAACATTCAGTATCCATTGAGAAAAGAAAACTTTTTGATTTTTTACAAAATGCCCCCAAAACTTCAACGTTTTCCATAGCTGGCATCATCAAAAAAGTCAGTTTTTCACCCAAAAATACAACATCATCAAAATTGCTCAAAAGTTCACACGAGATGCCTAGAGGCCAGAATTGAATTCCCTGAAGAGTTCAACTCATTACATTCAGTATCCAGAGAGAAAAGAAAACTTTTTAATTTTTTACAAAATGCCCCCAAAACTTTAACATTTTCCACATCATCGAAAGTGAGTTTTTGGCCCAAAAAATACATTTTCACCAGATTTGCCCAAAAGTTCAAACGAGGTGGGTAGAGGCCAGAATTGAATCCCAGAAAGATTATAGCTCACAAAAGTCAGGATCCATGGAACAATTCAGTTTAACCAAAATGTCCCAATTCCAACAGGTTTCCATATTCGCGGGCATCAAAACTAACAATTTTTGGCCAAAAAATCCAATGTCACGAAATTAGGTAAGTCAACTGTTCACACAAGGTGGGTAGAGACCAGAAATGAATCCAGTTGACAACAGTCAGTATACAGTGAGAAAAAAAAAGGTTTCATGATTTTAACCTAATTCCCCCAAACTAAAAAAAATCCACAGCCGGCATCATCAAAAAAGTCAATTTGTTCCAATAATCCACTTTCACCAATTTCCCCTCGAACGTTCACATCCCCTCCACTAAGTCCCAGGTATCATAAATATGTGAGAAAAAATTGGACCCAAGAAAAAAATCCAAATTTCAGCGACAGTTTCCTCTGATCACCCCCTAAACTTCTGCACGAGCACCATATTTTTAGAACCGTGAAAAAACTTACCTATGGCCTCACACGTCTCCTCCTCCATTTCCACCCTCCATTATGCCCCCACCACTAGCTCCGCCCACTGGACCACTCCCTCCTAATGTTGCCATATCCAGCAAGCTCTAACACAGCAACATTTAGAATCTGGAAAAAAAAAAGATTGATGGCATTTTCATATTAACAACATGTCATTAATTACATATTTTCTGCAAGATCTCATGAAATGGCAATTTTACATTGAAGTACAATTGTTATGAACTCTTCAGAACTACCGTATCGGTATAAATACGGTAGTTTGTAAAGTCTGTCACGAGCCAATGTGGCCCATCAGGCCGGCGTTTATCTCCGGTTTCAGTGGCATGAAACGACTGAGAATATTTTCTATTCCCCCTTGGATGGGGTGCTAGGCCATCGCAGGTTACTCCCTAGCTAATGCCGGTATCCATTTATACACCTGGGTGGAGCGAGGCAAGTGGGGGTGAAGTGGCTTGCCCAAGGACACAACATATGGCCAGCAGCTGGATTTGAACCCCTGACCCTCTGATTACAAACCCTAAGCACTAGGCTTCATTCCCCACATACAAAAATGTGACAAGACTAGACAAGATTACCGAATTCCTGGTGAGCATTATTGGACCTGGAGTTATGTACTCACTTGCGGTACATGTAAACACACAGAGCGGTTATCCCCAGTACTTCGGTCATTTCGACAACAACACAATAATTGAGGTCATCTTTATGATGCTACCCTGGGGAATGAATATCACAAGACTCACCAAGAGCATTCCTCCCTTCTGTCCCATAGCGTTACAGCCGTACGTAGTGGCGTTGTTTCGGTCTGGAGTCTACTCTTGATGTTGTCTCGTCTGCGCTGCCCACATTTTCTGCTGTCTCCCCCTGTTGCGGCTACCATCCATCACACCCTCAGTCCAGAATTGTGTAAAATTGCGACACTACCCTTTCAGCTGACGATGCGTCAACACCAGAGCAGTTTTCTCTTTGGCGATCGTGAAGTGTAGGGCTCCTGTTTTGTTTTTATCAAATTAGAGTCAAAAATATTTTTAACGGAGTGGCTATCGTTACGTCAGCCGTTGTTCAGCGCCCTCTACCATACTTTTTTGATACACACGCAGGTATATAATTATTTGTTTCCCCACATTTTAGCAAGCAGTGCGACAGTTCAGTCGATAGAGGGTAGGATTTTGCACCGCGAGGTTGCGGGTTCGCATCTCAGGTTTGCACTCGAATTGTTTTCCTTTTCTAACCTGAGGCTTTGGAGGATTTTTTTTAAAAGGGAAATAAAGTCCGAATTTCATAACGTTCAAATTAACTTTTTTTCCTTCTAATTTTATATTTTCTTCTCATGTTTTTATAAAAGTTGCAGTAAAACCTACAACCGTAACGATAGAAATTGGGAAATGCGTTACGGCTGCCGTAACGATAGCCACTGCGTAATTTTTATTGCTCAAAAATCACCTTTACAATCAAAAGCAGACTTTTCTCAATTCTAATGACACCCGTTTTACAATTTTGAACAGATTCTTGGGGTAGAAATCACGATTTTCCTGTGCGGTTTGTGCCTTGCGATTCAGCGTGCCGTGCGTGCTCACGGTACATCGCGCGGTGATCGCCATCTTTTATTTTCGGGTCGCGTTTTGTCGCCGCGCTGTCATCGTCATTTTACCCCCAAATTTCCCTCAAAAAATCAAAACCCTGCCCTCTATCTATGACATACCTGTTTATTGAGAATGTCGCCAACTAGTTTGGTAGGTCCAATAATTTTAAAGTGGATTTTGTTCCCTTATAGGAACCGGGCCCTATACACTTCACGATCGCCTTCTCTTTTTGACGGCTGTGAATTATATCTCTAGCATGCTGTCAATGTCAACATAACTCTCCAGGACCTCGTGCGTTGCAACAGTTGTCAAAAATCAACACAGCAGAATGTTTGTGTAACAGCGCCCTCTGGACACATTTTGATGAGGCCGTGTTTTTTAAACCACATTATTTCGTTTCGGATAGGCTTTTTGTTTTGTTTGTTTTTTCCTAATCTAACTGAATCCAAAATTGATTTTTTTTTAAGATAGGGCAGTGGCGCACCCAGGATTTGACTTGGGGGCGGGCTCACAATTTTCTGTTCAAATATACTTTTTCAGCAGTTTGATTTTGTTTCAAAAGATGTTGCCAAACATGTTTGGCCCCAGATGTTTTTTCGGGGGGGGGGGGAGGGCAGGGCGACGGATTACTTTGAGGTTGGTGACGCCATTTACCCCCATTTTGTACTACTCGAAAATAGGCCACATACATATCACCAAGGTTAAATCGTGGGACTAAAACAATACGTGGACACTTGGATGCGCCACTGCAACGGCCGATCAAGGGGGGGGGGGGGCAGTGGGGGTCATGTCCCCGGCCCCCGGAACCAATTTCATTTTTTTTTTCAAGTGACGTCTGTTACAACTGATAATGTAGTAACCAACGGATAATATATCACCAACTGATAATGTCACACAAATTGACCGATTAAACCGATAATGTAACAGAAATTGACCTGATGAAGTTTAGGCTCATATGCAGCGAATATTGGTATTCCGAGACAACCTAACAGTACGATTATCTCGATTTCAACTCAAAAGTGACCAAACCATCCCCGAATTGAATGCGTCTTTCAACGCATTCTTGGAAATCGCCTTCTGTTACTTTCTTCGAAATGATGACACGTCTGATACAATAATTTCACAGGGGGTATAGTCGTAACTATCTTTAAACCAACTAATCTATTCAACAGTAATTTTGCCGGTTACTTTTTTTGATATGGCTGCAAATAATGTACTCTACCTCTAATTTCACAATCATCTTTACTCACCTCTTCCGGTTTAATTACTAACACAAAAAGGTGAGGAAAGACACTTTCCGTCCGCTTGCACAAGTTGTACTTTATAGGGGTGCACGCCTGTAAATAGGCCAAAAATGCATCCGCCGAGCTCATGAATAACAGATATTTTATAGAAGAGAGTTCTGAGAGCCATTGAAGAAATGTGGTACTCGAACCTCTGGCCTGGACTTGGAGCTTCCAATTCGGAGCATTTTGGATGCAATCCATAGACTTAGCCAGCAGGGGGTATTTAGCCACCCCCCCCCCCAATATTTTGTAAAGACTGCCTTTTTCCATTCAAATGCCCTTTTTTTTTTAACGGGCTTACCCCCCCCACCCCCAATAATTTGTAAAGAGTGCCCTTTGTTGTTAAAGTGCCCTTTTTTCTGAACAAGTGCCCTTTTTTTAAAAGAAGTGTTGCCCTTTTTTGTGGCATCTGCCGTTTTTGGTGCCTTTTCCCCCCTGAATTTCGCACATGTATCGCCCTGAAAAGCACCATCTATTAAGGGCGGATCCAGAACACAATTTTTTTGGGGGGGGGGGCCCAAACAATTTTTGGTCCCCCCCAAAAAGTGGGTCAAAAAAATTACGGCGTTGGGTTCGGGGCCCGCTTAAGGGCCCCGAATTTTTTTTGGATTCTAGATGCTCTGTGGTGCGATCTGAGGCAATTTCTGACCACTTTAACCAATTTTTTTTTAGGAAAAGATGGTGGTGTACTCATTGCCTGCCTTTATTGCGATGTCACATAAAAAAAAAATTGGTTTCGTTTTTTTTTGGGGGGGGGGGGGCATGGCCCCTTTGGCCCCCCCCCCTTCCCCCGGATCCGCCCTTGCATCTATTGGCCGTTGGTGTGCATAATCGTCGGTTTCGAACAGCGCCGCCACCGACCGATGGTTCCCCCCCCCCCCTTTTGGATTTTACGGAGGCCAAGGTGGGGGGGGGGGGGGGGGGAGAACTGTCTACATTTCACCACGTATGTGCAAGTGCTCTTTTCAAAAAAATTTACCCCCCAATAAAAATGACCGTGCTACGCCACTGCAATCGGGCCCAAAAGTGGCGCTATTTAACCAAGTTAAGTTGTGGAGGGATATTCGTTTTGAAAATTGCTACTTTTCCAGTTTGGGAAACATCGTTCATTTTTAGGAGTGTTAATTCTTCTTTGGGTGAGATTTTCTAAAAAAAGAAAGAAAAAAGTTAATGGTCCACCCACCACAAATTGAAAAGAACACGAAAGATTACATGTTGATCATAATTATTTTTCGGTAGATTCTGATCACCTGTGAGAGTTCCGAGTATTTTTAAAAGAATGTGAAGAGTGGCCATTTATCATTGAAGCCTATTATGGGCATTTAATACAGGGTTGCACCCCTTAGTTCATGCATGATTAGTGGTGTTTACATTCTCGGGTTAAATATGCCTCATGTTTTGAAATTCAATCTTCACGAACCCGTCCCCCTTCCTGCCCTCTGGTGCTCCCGGTAATTCTTTCCTATGGGAGCGAAGTCGGGACGCCAGACGAAGTAGGGGCCGCCTACTACACAGGAAAGCGCACATAAAAACAAAGCGTGACGTATAATGTCTCAGGCCTATTTTGGTAAAAGTCTTGTAGACCTAACACATTAATACTTTTTTTTCTGTACAAAAGTGGCCATATTGATTTCTGACAATTGATTGCATGTATAGACTTGCATAAAAGACGGAGAAACGCACTGCCATCAATAATACTGATCGACTAACGTTCTTTTGTAAAACATTAAAACACAGTAAAAATTTAAAAACTTCATTTTTACAGCGACAATTAAAATTCTACAAACATACAAATAAGATTGCTGATTCCTGAATCAGAAAAAAAACCGCCAGATTGAATCATTAATGGAGATGGGTATATCCAAATTGAAGTGCCCCTATACCGCACAATAATTTCTGCATTAACTAACTTTCAGTAATTGATGTGTGAACAAACAATGGATATAACCCGTACACATTTAAACATGTCGTCATCGACGCCACGAAGTAACACTCTACCGTGTAAAACCATATTTTTTTCAATTTTCAGGTTTTTTTTTTATTTTTAAACATTATTCATCAAGGCCTACCATTGCACGAAGTTTCAAAGCTTCAAGAATTTTACTTTAATAATTACGCTAAGTATCCATGGCAACTTTTGCGCAAAAGTGACAATTTTCGTTTTCACGAAGTAACACTCAAGTTCCATTTACCATTGCAATACATGGCGCACACTCTGCTCATATTTGAGCCAAAAAGTTTTCACGAAGTAACACTCTTCTGGTAATAAGTATGAGCGCGCGCGCGCTGACCTGAAGTTGCACTTTCCTTGTGCTGTATACATTGAAGAGTGTTACATTGAAGAGTGTTACTTCGTGAAAACGAAAATGTACAGTTTCGCAGCTTTTTCGGTTTCACGAACTAACACTCATCTTTTTTCTCTTATTTCTTGTTTATTTAATACACAAACGGGTAAAAAAACAGCAGATTTAATAAATTCAATTTATCAAGTGTCCACAACGAGAAACCCAACTGAAAATACTCTGTCGTTTTGACGCAAAGTGTTGTTTTAGAAGGCGTTCAACTTTAGATGCCGTTTTCTCCGATTGCTAGTTTTTACCGGTATGTACATGAGTGTTACTTCGTGGTGTCGGTGACGATGTCTTAAACGTAAGACTCCAGATATAAAAAGTCTACACATATGAATCAAGACCATAAAAATGTTTATTCAAAAAGTTGATACAGATGAACAATATAGACTCTATATGTGCTTATGAAATTGTGCATGCCTGCGGGCAGCAACTTTTGGCCGGTGGGCTATCATCTTCATCATTGAATTTATATTGTATTTCGTCTGTTGATCGATAGCAAAGGTTAGTCTTTGTGATGAGAGGAGACGTTTCTCGCTGAGGCGTTTGCGTGATCGGCTCAGGGGCACGTGGTGAGTTGTTCGGCTTTGGTGCTTGATCGGTTGGTTTGGGGTGGTGGGGGATTCCAGAGATGTTGATGTGGCTGGAGTTATCTGCTGGAGTCGTCTGTGTGGTTGTCTGTGTTCTGTAGGTTCCTAGTGAGGGTCCTTCCACGGTCGTGGTATGGTCAAAGGAGTATGGTCGGTTATAGGTAGAATTTGCTGGGTAGATGTTGCTGGCAGCCCGCTGAGTGCCTGATGAGTGTTGCGGGGATGCTGCTCGTGGCGTTACGGTTTTCCTTGTGGCGATTTCGTCACGGTGGAAGGTGTTGTAGCTGGGAATAGGGTGGGGTGTACTCGGAGAGGATTTTAAAATTCCCACAGGGGTTCCTTGGGGAACTTCAGCCTGCTTGGAGGAACTCTTGGCTCTCGTGTGGCCGGTCGGGTTGCTCTCGATTCTGACGGCTTGGTCAGACTGAAATGCTCTCTTCTCTGATCTTGATTGATAGTAGGGAGGGTTGGTCCTTGTGACACAAGACGTCTGTCGCTGAGGCGTTTGCTTGATCAGCTCAGGGGTACGTGGTGAGTTGCTTGGCTTAGGTGCTTGATCGGTTGGTTTGGGGTGGTGGGAGATCCCAGAGATGGGATGGGGTGTAGGGGGCCTACTCCGAGAGGATTTTGGAATAATTCCCACAGGGGTTCCTTGGGGAACTTCAGCCTGCTTGGAGGAACTCCCTCTCGTGTGGCCGGTCGGGTTGCTCTCGATTCTGACGGCTTGATCAGACTGAACTACTCCCTTCTTTCGGAATAACTGGATAGTCACGTCGCAGGAGCGCATCGGACTAAAGTTGAACAGATTGTTATACTTTCGGATGGTATATGAATGTGCCCCCTTTGGGAAAGTGGGCTTGCCGCGGAATTCGAAAACTAAATCCATTCCGGCTCGGAATGCGAAGTCCCGCTGAAACTGAGTACTGCCGCCGCAGTCATTGTCGATGTACAGGACGAAGCAGCCCGGTTTGGTCTGCTGGAGAACATCCCCGAAGGAAAGCACCTTTGGCGCGGTCGGCTCGGAAGAAAGCAGACACTGCTGAGAAAGATTTTGACAGTGTGAGGATATCAGCCCGTTTGATGAACT